AAGTGTTCACGAACAGCACGACAGATGGTTTTTTTAAATCTGCAGCTTATTTCTGTGGTTTTTGCCGGCAATCCGAACTTTACTGACGTATGAAGTGCAGACTCGAACAGTTTTGTAGTTCTACGATGAACGCTGTTCGTAGCAGTGTGTAGATCTAAAATAATTTTACTTTATACTATATTTGGAGTTGTAACAGTTTGGTAGGCAACTGCAAAAATTCTGCGCGCATTTTTTACTAAGAAATAATTCTTTATCAGATGGATTAGTCGTTCGGACTCAACACTTTTTGGGAGAAGAGAAAATGGAGGGAGCTTTATATATAATTCGAAAGGAGACTGCCACAGCGGTAATTGCCTGACAGCTGAGGGTGCTTTTGGAGCATTCTCGGGCTTCCGCCGATTTTAGTATGCTTCAAAATTTTTTGTTATATTTGTGGATCCTTTTTCGAGCATTGTCGGTTCTCTTCAGTTTTTAGTGTAATTAAGTGTTTACTAGTAAAAGATACCTATTTTTGGCTATACTGTGAATATTAGCTGTATAGATTCATATGAGAAATTTTAGTTCTCTTCGGTTTTATTTTGTTTACAGCTGAACTTTTTTCGCATTAATCATTTTTTGACCGCCACATACAATTTATGTATAGAGATATTTATAAGATACTTTTATTGCATCTTTTGTTGCTTTTACTTCAATAAAGTATTTTAGGGATATGAAAACACTTAGTAACTTAGATACAAGGCAAACTAAATAAGTAGAAATATATGTAAATGATGCTTATCAAAATGGAGTACGTTCACATGAGCATCCAACTGCTTAGCAGACTGTGGCAGTAAGCGTAGCCTTTAAAAGGTAGCTTTTAAGTAAGCGGCCTTCTGCTTATTGATATCTCTAGAAATATGTGCAAATATATATATGAACTTATATATATATACAAATATATTTATTAGACTTTATTTATTATTGTCTTTGCATGTCTGTTTGTTTGTTTGCTGTGTTTCTAGCTGCCCTCACACTCTTGTCACAGCTCTCCTATCCATTCATAAGCGCGCTAAGTCTTTTTCCACCTCTGTTTTTATTTGACTGCCTCTTGGTGTCACCTCCGATCTTTCTATGAGTGAATTATTCATATCAGCAATTCGACATATGGCACCTCCAAACACATCTGTGACTGTTTTTTTTTATCATTAAACATATGTGTATATACATATGTATTAGAAGCATACATGCAATATTTGCCTCAGCTCATTAAGCAGCATTCTAGGCACCAATATTAAATGAAGGCGCTACTTATATACACAAATGCATGTATATGTATTACTATATTTCTATATTTTCCTCTTTGGCTGCCTAATGTTATGTTGCTTGCCTGCCTACTTAGCCGCTTGACTGTCCAATCGTCACATTACCCAGTAGTGATAAAAAATAAGAATTCTACTGCCACTAAAACACCTCTACTTGCCACAAACCTACTACATATACTTTATATACGTGCTACTGTTAGTATTTTGCTCACATGCGCTTCGGCCCTTCTGTTGGCATTTTTTCTTCTTATTTCTTCAGCGCGACTCCGACGTGTGTCCAAATGTAGAAATATCCATAAATTTGTAAATGTTGACAGGTCACCAGGGGACACCGCAGAGACAACGCGCAAGCGTACATATGTAAGTAGAATACTTGCAACACCAGCAAGCAAGCATCAATATGTATGCTGCTGCCACTCGCCAGCCGAAAAATAAGAAATAAACGCGTCAGACGACAACAAAGTCTACGGCGACGACACGTCAGATACAATCAGCGATAAGTTGTGACGTTGTGGCCTTTACACACATTTCTTTCTACGACTTGCTGTGCCGCCGGACGTGTCTTCTACCACTTTATTTACAATTCAGTTTCGATTTTTTTCGATTTTGGCAGTCGAAGTTGCCTCAAGCTGTGTTAGGTCGGCTTTTGTTTGGCGCTCAATACGCATAGTACATATGTATATAGAGACTCAAACGCACATAAATGTATATGCATTTATTTGAATTTTATCAGCATCAACGCACGCATACATTTTGTCGTTTCTCTACATTTGCTATTGTTGTTCAAAGTAATTTGCTTCAAATATGTATATGTGTATGTTTGCGTTTGTTGGCATTGTTTTGCATATCGCATACAGTTGCCGTTGACAAAACGGGCCAATTAACATAGACAAGCTGTGGCTGAATGCGCACACACCGACGAATTGGGTCAAAGGTACTGAGGGCGCCTTTTGTTGCATACATTTTTTTTCTCCCTTTTTGTATGACTGTCGATTTAGTGATATATTATTGTGATTTCAACATATATGATTTTCAAACTTTATTATGTGCTTTTGTTTAAATGATTGTCGGTATTTTTAACGACATAATAAAGACTGGCGATTGAAAGAATGGAAAAGGTAGTTGACGCTATCAGTGCTTTCCGTTGCGAAAGCTCATCTACATATGTACATATCTATTATTTGTAAAATGCTTTGCTAATGATGTGACAAAGTGCTTTCGATGATGCCGAACAAAGGCACAGACAGTCGTAAAGTTTATTTATCTTGTCAAATTTTGACTACATAAAAAAAATCATAATTTTAAAGTAAAAAAAGTTATAAAAAACTTAAGCATACTGCTTAAACAACTCAAAATATAAATATTTTTAATATGTGGCAACCCTATATAAAACTTTATCTGATTACTATTAAAACCTGCATGAAAAATTATATGCACAAATTGTTCAGTAACAAAATATTATTGAAAATTTTAAATTTTTACTTACATTAATTTGTGGCAACCCTATGAAAAATTTTTCTAATTTAAGTTTGCTTCAAGATCTTCATTTACAAGGCATTATTATAAATTTTAAATTTTTACTTACAAATTTGTGGCAACCCTATGAAAAATTTTTCTGATTTAAGTTTGCTTCTTAATACCTGTTTAGAAAGTTTAAATCACTAGTTCTCCATAGACCAAATATTATTATAAATTGTTAATTTTTGTTTAATATGTGGCAACCCCCCCTGTAAAAATTTATCTCACTCAAGTTTGCTTTTTTATGCCAGCTTATAAAATAAGAACTCTCCAACCAAAATAAAAAATTTTAAAATTTTCAAGAAAATCAATAATTTACAAAACATATGGCAACCTTTTGTAAATAATAGTTTGTTAAATGTTTTTTATCAAGAGCTTTAACCAAATTTTTATATAAATTGTTGATATTTAATAAGTAGAGAAGTTTAAACCAATATTATGCACATGGCAACCCTGCGCTACCATATATTTAAGTTTACAACATATCTATTAAACTAATTCGAGCCATTGAGACCTCAAACTGCCCTTGAAAATCAAGTTGTATACATTGTAAATTTTTATTTCATACAACATGAAAAGCAGTATGGTTTCCTTAAAAATTTGGCACCTCTTTTGCAATTCATTTAAAATTTATAAAAAAAAAATAAATTAGTTTTTCATTAAAGATTTTATGTAAGTATCTGATTTCGTAAGATTTTGTATACTTATTACGAAAATCTCAGCAAACTTATGTGGCAACCCCTTGCAGAATTATTGAAACTATGCAATCATCTTTTTAAGAATGAATTTGTAACATTCCAAACACTTATTTGTATTTTGTAAGTAAATGCGCATATACACCAATGTATTTTCATTAAAAATATGTGGCCACCACTAAAATTAGTTAATATTAAATAAGTTAAAAAAATTTATAGATAAGCAGAAATATTTTATTTCACTGTCATTAAAAGCATTTTTTGTTTGGTATCATGCATGATTGAAATATGTGGCAACTATCATCAAGTAGTGTTTAAGTATACTTATGAGTTGTCATTAATTTTTTTGCAACTATTGGGAAGTCGAAATATTTACTGCATTTTTGTACACTAGCTGTTTAAATTTTAACCGGACTGGTCCATGTAAACTGTGTTCACAAATCTAATTGACAAAAATAAAATTCTCCTAGATTGGTACAAACTTTTTTATGTTCGTGTCAAGTTTAATCTCCACATGTCAACTATTATGTGTTTGTTTACGACGCGAAAAGTTTGTTTAGCGATCAGAGTCATAGCAAAGGATCTCAATATATCATATGGATTGACTCAGCATATTTTGATTAATGTTTTGGGTTTGAAGCGGGTCAATGCTAAACTAAAGTATCTGTAAACCGGAATATTATGCAGACACGTTGTCGAGTAGTGGTCGCAACAGAAATGGTTGACAACATAGCCCTTTTACTGGCAACGAAACGTGAGTTTATGATTGTGACTTCGAAACTGGCCAACAATCTAGCGAATGGTTCTCCAAAATTGAGCCGAAACCGAAGAAACCCAAAATTCGGAAGTACAGATCATCCCAGTCGAGGCTTATAACAAGTTTTTGGAAAATGCGATTAAGCGTTGCCGTTCTTGTATTGGCACAGAAGCCTATTTTGAAGATGATTGTAAAGATTTGTATTAAAATACTTGATAGTGTATTTTTTTTTGTGTCAGCTCGGGTCAAATTTGATCAGATGGTATTATGTCTGATGGAGTTTTCAATCAGATCTAATGGATTATTTCTTTATCGTGTTGAAATTGCATAAAAGGTATATGAGGTGAGGTTCTCATGGAGCTTTTAAAGAAAGACTATAGATTATAGCGTTATATTGAATAATTCTAGGTCAGGATCTAATTTAAATTATTTTTTATCAAAACTGGTGGAATAACATGACATTGCTGATGATTTTTTTATTCAGCTTAAATATTTGATAAAGCTTGACAAAGGTATGATATAGAATAAGAGTTGAAAATATGCGAATTAGAAAACCAACTAAAATGTTACTTTAAACGAAGTTCTTGGTGAATTTACTCTCCCACATAAAAAATAATCATACATCAAAGACAAAAATAACTGCAAACTAAATTAGCTACTTAACACCGCACTCCATACAAAATAACGGTAGCGTATATAAATTCAATTAAAACTCGCATAGCCACTTACCTTCAACGCCAACGTCAAGCGCCAACAACAATGCCAGCCAAAGTGTTGCATGAAAGAGTAATCCTGGTTGTGCTTCGCGGACTCCGCTGTAAAGCCGACGCTGCCAGGCGCTACCAAGTGGCAGGGCTGACGACGTGCTGCCGCTGTTGCGTGACATGTTTATAGCACGATAGCGCTTTTGGCCAACAACTGCAACAACAGCAGTGACATTGTGTGCACTTTTATTGCTGCTGTTGCACCGACTGTGCCTTTGATTTCTATTTGTGTTTGTTTTTGTATTTGCCATTTTCAATTTCAATTTCGATTTCGATTTCATGCTGCCGCGACCACAACAAGAATCAATGGCCAACCGAGCGACCGCACGAACGAACGTACCACAGCGTAAGATGTGGCACGTTGCAACTATGCTCGATAGCTAGTAGCTTAAGTAGCTCAAGAACGCCGAACTTGAACTTGCATTGTGGCAGGCAGGGTGCACGTTTGGTTGCGCGAGACGCGATATGCGATTGCAACGGTTGCACTTTATTCTTATTTGATTGTGTTTCTTTTGAGCTCGCGTTTATTTTCGTTTTTTTCTTGTTGTTGCTTTTTCGACTCGACTTTTTTCTCGTAATATTTCACTTTTATTCAAAATACACTGTTCAGTTTTATTTTATTTTCGTTTTTTTTGTTGTTTTCACTGTTGCACGATTGTTTTGCGTGCTCTTGGCGGTGACTATAAAAATCGTGCCGCATAAAATGAAGTGTGCGCATATGTATGTGTGTGTGTGAGCGAGCGAATTGCTGGTATTACACAACAATCAAGCACTCTACTTCTATATGTGTGTGTGTGTGTTTGGGTTCGTATAACCGGCGACGTGCTGCGACCCCTAAAATCAGCGGCAAACTGTGCCGCGTCTCTGCCACTTAGACTCTTTGCTCCTACGCGGAAAATGCTTCAAAATTCATGTGGCAGCTACTGAAAGAAAGAGAGAGATAGAGAGTGAGAGCGGTAGAGGGGAAAATGGAATTTGTTGAATTTTCGCGCGTTAAACTAGCATGAGCGAACCTTGCACTTGATGTGGCAAGGACGTGCATGCTGCATGTTGCAGCGTATGGACGCGACAGCAGCACATAGAGGTTGAAAAATTACGAGACGACAAGGTTACGTGCAACGTACGCGAGACGACGCGAGGCGAAAAAAAAAACAAAATAAATTAAATAAAAATTTCAAAAGCAAGTAAATAACGGTTATTTTTTGCGCTTTCTTCAAAGTCCTTGCGCCATAAATTTGCGCCAGTTAAAATTTTTATGAGCGTCTTGATACTTTCAGCTCAATTTATCACTACGTACTTTATTGCTTGTTGTGTTGCATGCCACATATTTACATTTATGTGTCGCTGTTTGTGCCCCAACACTTGACTTTTGTTCGATTTTATGCTTGCAGTTATATAATAAAAATATTTCTAGTTACATGGTGTCTTTGTGGAGTATGTTGCAAGCATGTTGCATGATATTTGTTGACTATTATTTATGTTTATGATATTTTTATTTATACATTTCTATTTTGTTTTTATTTTTATCGTTCACTATCTTACAGCACACGGCGGTGAAGTTTTGTGTGCACTGTCCTTGCTGCTTGCTGTTGCATGTCCTTACAGCGGGCGAGTCGCAAGTGGACGTGCCGACATTTTCACTTAAGCATCCTACAAGTGCGATTGCGGACTTCCTCCTTGCTTGGCTTCAATATCCTGCAGCTTTCTTTGGTGTAGTGTGTCCTGGAGTGCACTTCGCTTGGGCGTTCATATCCTGCTACTGCTGAGGTTGCTGCTGCTGATGATGCTTATGCAACTGTAAATAAAAATTTGAGAAGCGGAAAAGTTCAAGTTAGAAATTGTAAACAACTTTTTGATAAGTTTTTGTGTAGCATTTCTTTGTATCGTTTATGTGCTTCGTTTTTATAGTTGTTGTAAGTTTTTGTCTTTTCGTTGTCTTCGTCTTGTCTGTGGAGAATTTGTTTCTTGTTCTGTCCGGTTCGCCGGCTTTTTATCATAAAGTTCTGAGAAATTATGGCAAATAAGTTATGAGACATGGATGTTGCCGCTTGGTTGGCTTAGCTTGTTAGAAGATAAGAGGCGTAGACTTTAAAGGGATGGTACAATAATGGGTTTTGAACCACCGAGTAATGAAAGTGGGATTTATGGCGTGGAGAAATTGTTGAAAATATATTATGATATGGGCATATATTAAATACAACACACAGAAAACACTTATAAATTTTTTTTTTTGGTTTATATCGAAAATATTTCGAACCACCTTTATAATTTGTAATAATTGAGATTATTTTCTACTAAATATATTCTTTTTTTTGCATTTTTAAACATCATTTATTACGACATTATGGAAAATTAAAAAAAAATTGTGAAAATTAGTAAAAAATTTTAAAGAATTTATTTTTCAAATTTTGAGGCACATAATAATTTTTAAAATACTATGTATGAAAAAACAAAAAAAAAAAATTATAATAAAAAAAAAATTTTAAATTAGTATAAAAATATTTAACTAATTAATTTTATATTTTGTTTATTTAAAAACTTTTTTAAAATGTTTGAATTAAAAAAAAATGCTTTTTAATTTTTATGTTACAATTATTAATAAAAATAATTTAAAACTTGTAAAGATTTAAAAATAATTTATTTTATAGTTTTTTAACTCATTTCCATTTTTGAATAGTAAATATAATTAAAAATAAATGAAAGTCAGTAAAAAGTTTCAAAGAATTTATTATATAAATATTTTTTTTTAATTAATTTTACTTTTTGGGGTAATAAATATTCATAAAAAATTTAAACATTAGTAAAAAATTTCAAATCATTTATTTTATATATATATATTTTTAATTAATTTTAATTTTTGCTTGGCAAATATTCATAAAAAATTCAAAATTAGTAAAAAATTTCATATAATTTATATTATATTTTTTGGGGCATTTAGGAATTTTTTAAATACGCATGAAGCATAAAAAAATTAGTTTTAATGTTTGCATAATAAATATAAGTAAAAAATAAATTTAAAATTGTTTAGATTTTTTTTTTGAAGCAACCCACTTCTTCACACTATTGCACCCACCACTGCGTAACGCGTAATCCGTTTGTGCAGCTTTCGATTTGACTCAAGTCAATTCGCTTGGAAATAATTGCTGCGACAAATTAATTTTCGCAGCACACTTGCTATTTTCCACAACGCAAAAGCGAAAACAAGATATCAAAGAGCAATGAGGACAACAGTGCCGTTATAAAGAGAGCAGAAATTAATAGTTTTTCTAATACGCCTTTGGCTGAAAATCATTAAATTACACATTTCGCTTCTGACCGCACTTTCCACATCATTAACCGCATTGGATAGCTATAATATGCGCGCTGCTTAAAATTAACTAACCATTAGTCGGCGGTAGAAGTAATTACACGGGCAGACGGCGGCTATCTGATGTTATGGCACGATCTAAACATAAATATGCCTTTTATTCTAATAAAAATATTTTTTCAATCCAAATATCCAATAAATATGTTTATGTTAGTAATCGTAGCATACTTTCAGGCGGAGGTTGTTATTTAAACATACTTCAGTTTATTTGTTAATTATAAGTTTTAAAATTTAAAGCGCTGTTGTTAATTTGTTAGCATTGAGTAGTTGAAGAGTTCGCACAATTGTTTGAAATCATAACGATTTTTGAAGGACTGAAAGTTCGGAGCTTTTAATATATAAATAAATGTTGGCAGCGCACAAAAGTAGGCTTACAATGAAATAAATTATTCAAGTACACGTTGTGTAGTGGTTTATTTTTTCGTTTTTTTTTTGCGAGTTAATTGGAATATGTACATGCATTGTTAGTAATTTTTCATCCAGCGAAATGCTAAAAATACAGTTTCCTCTCGCTTATTCAAGTGAGTGTGTCAAATGTGAAAACTGAAGGTATTATATATGGTTCATTATAAATTTCATTATCTAAGCATATATATGCAAATCACTCTGCACGGAATGAGAGAAAACATTTTATATATGTACAATGGACTTAATAGATGTTAGAAGTACACATTATTTATTTAATATACTCATTATACTAAAAATTTTGTGTTAATTATTAGTACTCAGAAAAGAGTAAAATAGTAGTATTTCTTTTTGAAAAAAAAAACACAGCTTAGTGTTGCCTTAAAGAACTCACTGCTCGTCACTCTCAGATAATATTACAAATTTAATAATACAGCTACACCATTTTTGCTATTCTCAATATAAAAGAAAAGTTGCAATATGGATGAATAGTCTGGATGTCTTTTAAATACACTCAGAATATATGAAAAAGTAAAATTTATTTTTTTAAGTCCATTCCCACATGTTGAGCTCTTCTTATAGTCAATGTATTATTTGAAGAATACTATGAGATCTAAAATAATCCGGACTGGTCCATATAAACTACGCGGGCAAGTCGAATCGCAATGTTTTTTTTTAGTATAGACTTGTTTATGTTCACGTGAAGTATGATTTACATATGTCAATTAGTGTGTGTGTTTGGCAGCCGTTTATTTACAACGCTAAAAGCTTGTCTGCCGAAAATCGAACAACGAATTTGCTGGAAATTTTGTGTCTCCAATGAAATCAGGTCTACAGAATCGTTGGAAATGTTGCCGAAATGTTTAGTGGCGTCTATTTTGTCACAAATACAAATATTTAAGTGGCACAAACGACGATCAGTCCAGATCGTAAAATCAGCGAAAACTTGCCTCATGCCACTCGTACATCCACCTCTGTAACAACATCGAAAAAGTTAGAGAAACAGTGCTAGGAAATGTGGCATTAGAGAGATGGAAAAGGTTCCCAACATCTCTTATGAATCGACTTAATACATTTTGGTTTAGGTTTTGGGTATGAAGCGCGTCAATGCTATAGTTGTACCAAAATAGCTGAATCTTTTGCAAAAACGACGTGGGGTAAAGGCCGTAAAGGAGACTGCGGACCCTACAGAAGTAGCTTAATGAATATAACTTTGAAATTGTCCAACAATCTCACGAATGGCGCTACAAAAATAAACCGAAACCGATAAACCCGAAATTGGCTCTGGAGTATAGTTATTTGAAGCAGATAATACATTTTTTTTTTCGCAAGTTTGAATTTTCAAATTTCATATACCATCTGATGAAAATAATATTACTTAATATATTAAAGAGTATTCCGCCACAAAAATACTCTTCTAAATATGAAAGAGCAGTATTAAAGCTGTGTGTGGTAATGCATTCACTGTGTATGACAAGAACACTAAATAAATAGCTTGCGTTTCCTAGTAAATTTGTGAATTATTCTCATTTTAAAATATTCATAGTATAAAGTACTCAATATGTATGATTTTCGCGTGCATAAGTATACATATTTAGTTTTTGAATACGTTATTTATTTTATATATAAAGCTTATAAAGTTGAGTGAAATTAAATTTTATTGGATATAATGTGCATTTTTGATTACTCAAAAAGTACTCGCTATGAGTACTATCAGTGCTTCTTAATATTTTTAAAATATTTCTCTTCACGTAGTAAATAAAGCGCTCAAATTAGATACGTACGATAAATCCAGAAACTTTATATACCTTTTTATGAATAAAACGCATAATACAAACCGAATTTATTGAAATCATTTTTTAACGCCTAAAAATATGCTTTAACCACCGACAGAATGACAAATAAAAAAATGTTGTTTTTGAAGCATTAAATTTGCAAGAACACACAGGAGCAATTTAAACAAAGCTACAAAATCTTAACAACACATAGATTCATCTTATACTTCCACATATGTACCGTTTTAAATTTGTACCGCCTCACAGAGCATGAGTACAATCGTGGCGCGCCCTTCAGTGTGCAACTTTTATTTATGTACTGTCATTTTTTCAATGATGAGCTTACGTTTTAACGAGTTTCCACACAGCAAGC